AAGATAAAATAACCAATTGTCAGACAGCTTACCCCTATGGCAAACGTTTTGACTTAGGACAGCATGTCCATTTCAAATACCTTTGCATGGGAAAGTCAGGTTTCCAATTTGGACAACACAGAAAAGGAGTTCGATAGTAATAGGGCAGTGACCAAGGCATCAATGCCCACATGTCATAAAGCTTCCCATGTGGCAAGAAAACAAATAGTACTGGTCCTACTTGATGGCACTTGCTGGTCTTGGTACTCTGTGATGACACTTCATGGTCCAAAGACTCATGAAACACCAAGAGAAATTGGAAATGTTTTGCCATGGGCTGGATTTTTGGTATACCAGGCTTACACACTGCAGCAAAAGGCCTCTGACAAATGGGAAACTTTCTGGTTGTCCATGTACATTGGGCTGGCACGTGATGGTCCTGGTACCCCAGGCTGATACTTGGTGGTCCTGGCACCTTGGGATCACTCTTGGTGGTCCTCACACTTGGTGATCCTAGTACAATGGGCAGAAAGTACAGAGGTTATATCAATAACTAACTAGTGGGAACCAGTGGGAACCTGGGGTTCCCATTTTGGTAAGTCCCTAAAATAAAAACTTATTTTTGATTCTTATTAAATTGCATTGCATACCAAATACTGTCCTTGAAGTCTGACCTGGTTCCATCTTCAGCATACTCTTGGAAGAAAATTGGACAGCAAAGGTTGCAGAGAGCCACTGACTGATGTTCCAAATCTATGTTTTGAAAGAGGATGAATGATTTTTCAGTGTCCATTCTAAAACAACACAGATACAAAGGCTATATCATTAACTAAGTGGTTAAAAGCACTACAGAATGTCACAGAGCTCCCTAAATATACTGTAAGTCCCAAGTGTCACAAAATTTTCCATATGGATGCTTGGTCAAAGATGCAACCCTGGGTTTTTGAGGGCCTATTTGTCACTGATTACAAACAGGAAACTCTTTGACACATCAAATTTCCAAATGTCAAAATTTCCCCAATGCACATGTTACTGTTTGTAACCAGAATTTCTCCCATATGTCCATCTTGGCCTTCAATGATGTATTGTTTGATTTATTGTTTATTTTCACTTTTAGGTTATCTAGTTTGACACACTGACACCTAGCCTTGAAGTCTGAACATCCTATTAGCTGGATGTGAGTTGAGGGGTCAAAGGTTGCGCTACAGCTATAGGCCTTCACAATAAATGTATTGGTTATTTAGGCTTGATAATTACTGGATTACATTTTTTTTTAAAATCTGCAACTTTATTTATTATTTTTTTCATTGAAATTTTGTGTACTTTACTTGCTACCCACCTGCATTCAGTCTATTTTTCACTCGTGTCCATACATGTGAATAAATATAAACATATTTTTTTACCCGTTACACTCCATACTTGTGCAGGACTCTGAAACAGAGTAACAGTTCTGTGATTTTATTTTATTTTTACTGATTTTGCTGTGATCACCTGTGCTGTGATTTTATAAATATTTATGCAGGATTAACAGTAACCATTGACCTGGAGAATGTAGCTACTAGAACAGGTAAATGATGTTCACTCCCTCATCCTCCACTTTGCACCAAAGCACACTGGGTTCTCCTTCCCTAGGTTGTATAGCAAGTAAATGTAAAAGTTAAAGAATGAGTGACGCTAAAACTAAAGCAGTCTATATACATGGGGTGGATAAAATATAATGTAATACCATTCACAGAAGCACAAACTAAATCCTTTGAAATTACCATACAGTTGAATCAACGCTGAAACAGTTTCAACATAAACTGAATATTATCACCATTGTAAAGGGAGGATTTATTGCAGGACTGTTGTACTAATATATATTATATTTGATGTATTCCTTTCTCACAATGTTCAGAATGTACTTTTAGCCATCCACAACACAAAAAATTGGTTATAAAGTAAATATACAAGCTATGAACTGTATGATATGTATACATGTATCTGTATAGTGATGATTATGATGATGATTAGGGGAATTCATAATCTTTTTCATCATGAGGGTGCCTCCAGTTTACAATTTATCTTGATGTATTGTAATTATGTCTTAGCTGTACTTTTTGCAACTTTACATTTGGAATGCGCAGTAATATATAGTGAAGATCAATAACCAACGAAATATTAAATGCTGGACTTTCAGCATCCTTATGTAGTTTATTACTCAACAAATGAATAGGTTATTTCTGCCATGAACATTATTGCTGCCAGTACTGGGACCCATATTTCTTATTGTAAAAACTTTCTGAATTGCTTTCTCTTCTGTGACATCACATCCAACAACGTATTTTAGGGTGGAATGAAAACTGCCTGTTCAGATGCAACTGATATCATTTTCCCCACAGTTCATTACCTGCAGTTTCCAAACTATAAGTTGATTTAGACGATGGACTATGGCCACTCAAGCAGAAAATAATGGCATTTAATGTGCTGTGTCTGTGGAGTAATGCTGTTTGGTATTCTATGATAAAGCCAAATGTTTTTGATTTCATTAAAGTTACTAAAAAGGCCAATGAATGTAGAATTTTAATAGTTTGTGTATTTACCTGAGTCTATATAGTGTGTCTATTGCATTTCATATTTTGTTACAACAGTAAGTAGATCTTGGTAAATGCTAGACACTCTTGGAAATGTCCACTGTCCAAGTTTTAAACTTGGGCTGTAACATTTTAATGTGATAAAAATGTTAAGAGGAGTGGCTGTATATCTGCTGTAATGTGCCACAATATAAACATATAAAGCAATCTCGGCCATTGACGAACAGGAAAATAACTGCATGTTGCAAATACAGCACAATATGTTTACCATTGTTTTCTACTGCATTATTAATTAACCTCATCTGTCTCACAGAAATGCCCAAAATGTCATTTATCTTGAGAAATAGCCACACTTTCCAGGACCTATAGATCACACAAATGCATCAGAACCATCTGCCCTCTGGCTGGACATTTTGACTGCGCTTTGTGATCAGATTGGTCATGACTAATCAGAATCATGTGTAAAAATAGGGTCAAAAGTTGTACTTGATTGAGACCTGAGAGTTTATCCATGCAATGTTGTGCTTTGTAGCAGTGCACATATGTTCATTAAATCCATTTTTTTTACAGTATGTGTAACACCACTGTTATAATTGTTCACAGATTTTACTCACACATTCTCAAAATGTTTTACAAGTACACATATTTTATGCACATCCTCACATTTTTTTACAAGTACACATCACTTTTTATAGGTTTCCAATTGTTAATTTACAACTACAGACTTACTTTCCAAGCTCAAAATCCTTGTGACTCTAATGTGAGCCCATAATTAATTAAGTATGTTGACTGGAGATTTTTGTCTAAAACCTTCTTCTTATGTTACAGAGTTGAGACCAATTAAACAATGTCCAGATGAACTGTGCTGCTGGAATACGAAGCTGCAATTTGATGAATGAGAGTCATATGAAGGAGACCTTCCTCACAAGCTGATGAAGTTATCAGATTATCTTCTTTGCTCTCTACTCCGTAGTTGTTTCTTCTCTGCTTTTTCCTTGTCATCTCCCTCTACATTTCAACTACAGAGTTTTAGTCTGACCACCTATGAGATGCATAGATCCTGTGACGACAGTCAGCATTCAAAAGAGGTGGCTCTAACTTTTTTATGTTCTTTATGTTTATAACAAGTATATGATGTGTAATATCGCATTTTTACTGTAGACTTAGCATCCTGAGATAACAAGCAGAATGTAGATAAGTAAAAGTTTATTTATATAGCACTTTTCTAATCCAGAGTTAGAAAGTGCTTAACTGAAGAGGGAATAATGATAATAAAATGAGTACCAATAAACAGTACAAAACACATAATCAGGCAATCAATTAAAGAAACAAAATATACAGTAAACAAAACAAAGTATCCAGAGTTAGAAAGTGTTTAACTGAAGAGGGAATAATGATAATAAAATGAGTACCAATAAACAGTACAAAACACATAATCAGGCAATCAGTTAAAGAAACAAAATATACAGTAAACAAAACAAAGTAATTATATACAAAGATAAGACATGAGTAATACAATAAAAATAATAAGCTAACCAATGCCCTGGTGAGACCCGGTATTAAATGCCTGCCTAAACAAATGGGTCTCAAAGAGCAATCAAAAGACATTACGGTCAGAGGCAGGGGTCTGGTGTTTTCAAGCTGCAACACAGTTATCACAGAATTTAGCTTTTCAGTTCCTGTTTAAACTTACATCTGCCTAGTTTGGCTTACTAAAACTTTTTTCCCCACGTCTCTCTTGCCAGATTCTCTTAATTGTCCAGGGTGAAATAAGGAGTCCTATAAGAGGCCAATAAGAAGCAATAAGAGTGTATTACAGGTTCTCATTGGGTCCCCTGTCCTTTATCTGGTTCGGTGGTGTTGAAAACTGGATCGAGAGCTCTTCTCTCTTCTCCAGCTGTGTGTTTCAAAATGGCTTGAGACTGTTGTGAGTTCTCTTTAGTCCGTGCCTCGTTCATATGCTCTGCTTGAGCTAAATCCCTTTCAGCTGGGTGATGAGGTGATGTACAAAGGCATTTGCCTCTGGTTTTGGTTCTGGGGGCTGGGACTCCTCTGGCCTTTGGTGTGGATGTTTCCTCTGTGGTGAGCCTCTGCTCGCAAGTGTTGAAAACTCAAACTGTCATGGTGTGGGGCAGACATATTCACCTAGATGATGACTGATAGTAGGGTTCACATTTCAGAGCAACGGAGCTTTGAAGTGTGGTTCTTCTTCCATGTCCAGATTATTTCTGGAGTCATAGTATGCACAGTGGAGGTACATACAGTACTGTGGTGTTTCTTGTCTGTCCTGCTTAATGTCTAGAGCAGATATGAGGTTTTGTTCATCTTCTGATTGTCCATGTTCCCTTATGAGCACTTGGCATAGCAGCTGGTAGTCGGCCCTGATATAGTTGTTGAAGGAAACGTCATACCTCGGAGCTGAAAGTCACTCTCATGAGGTGAAACTTGTCCCCTGCTGTGGCTTGTTCTAGCCTCTGCCTGTGGAAGCTGATGTCTTGCAGGTATGCATGACTGTCATTGCCCTCAAAGACAAAGGGACTCATGCTGCACAACACTTTATTCAGGTCTGTAGTGGATATTCCATGCTGATGCAGGCTCTGACTCTTAAGGCTGCTGGTGTGGCTCTCCTATAGGGTGATGTTTTTTTGATGTGGAGACATGTTGGCTGTAAGAGATTACCACACACACACCAACATGTAGGTGCTTACTTTGTATGGCACAGTTACAAAAAGCTTTACTCTTTATTGATGCTGGTCAAACTGTTCTACCAGGTCTGGCAACACTATTAAGGGGTACTGTCCATACATTTTTGGGTCTAGGTAACAATTAATAGCACTACACTTGTCATCACCATGTTATGGGGAAAATGATTTACCTTTGATTTTACTGCTAAGGTCTGGATCTAGCATTCACAGGCTGCTGCTGTGTGTGTGTGTGTGGGGGGGGGGGGGGGGCGCGGCTTCTATGCTATGGTGAGCAGGGAAGCAACCAAAAGAGAGAGTGAAAGAGAGAGGACAGACTGCAGCAAAAGATTGTTATTAATTGAATAGCAAGGACACAGTGGAATGAATGACTCTTCTACCTGCTAGAATCCAACTTCAAACTCTTAAGCTGGTTTACCTGCTATTTCAAACATTTAGACAATTAAAAAGGGCAGTTGTTGACCTTGTTATTTGCCAG